GGGCGCAAGAAGCAAATTTTTCATTTTCTATTTATCTTGTGCTATCGTGCCGAGTAAAGCGTCAACCATCGACGCTGTTAAACATCCAAAAGGTAGAATTTGGTTGTTAACGTGCTAAAAGAAACTTTAAAAAATATATATATACATAGGGATAATAATAACCGTTTTTAATCAGGCACTCCTTACTGATGGTAACATAGATGTTCACGTGAACAATATTTTTTGAGAGCTGGACCTTTTACGGTCATAACCGGGAGCACATAAGTAAACGCAGTGTAATCCTGATGACGAATGTCATAATCTACATAAACTACAAATAACGAAGTATATAACGCCAGATGTACGAACAGCGGTAGAGCTATTTGTACCAGTTTCACGGGCACCCTTAGATTTACTTAATTGTGACTGAGGTTAGACTTATGTCCTACGGGCGTCTTAAATTGCAGGTACGCCTATGTATGGTTAGCAGTTATTACGTTTTATTGTCTAAGCTTTTTACTTCGGCAATTTACTTGGCGTGTATTAATCACGGATGCATCGTGCTTTCATGGAAAGAAATGACGGTGTCTTAATGTCCTAGCTTCCTTTCAAACCGCGGTGTCTCTATTTATAGTACCATATCTATTTGTAGAATTACTTCGGCGTGACCACTTGCCGAGTTCCCTGTGTATATATCAGAGAGACAGTTGAGTATTAATAAAAAAAAAAAAAAAAAAACACAAAAAAAAAAAAAAAAACGACACGGGCGTTATTAAAGCGCATATGGTCTCGTGGACGCGTTTTGACCTTAGGAAAAAAAAAGTCAATGAGTTTAATACACAGACAAGAAGATATCCAGGGGTGGCCAAGCTGCGGCTCGCGAGCCGCATGCGGCACTTCGCGTGTTAAAGTGCGGCTTGCAGCTTCCTCCCCTCCCCCCTCCCCCTCCCTCTCCCCCCTCCCCCCCCCCCCCCCCCCCCCGCCACCTTCCCGGTCACACGAGAAACTTCCCTAAAAAGAGAAATGGAACGCGATTTAACTCGACAGACAGGTTGCGATTTGGTAGTCTTGTGCAACTGCTCCCTTACGTGCAGTTGGACTGCTTTTGACTCGGATAGATTGAAAGTAGTTCCGAGTTTGTTTATTGCCTTTGACAAAAGTTTGCCCTCTTGCCTGCCCCTGCCCCCCCCCCCCCCCCCCCCCCCCCCCCCCTTTTTTTTTCCGCGGCTCTTGGAAGTTTTGTGGCCTTGTTTGCGGCTCTTAGGCCTGGTCAGCCTGGCCACCCCTGAGATATACGATCGTAAACAAACTTACGACTTACATTTTTTTAATAACTTCCGGGTTCAATGAGGTTCGAGAACTGATGTAACTTTACATACGACTTGGCCTAAAATTTGTCTAAGTTTTGCCATGCGTAGTGGGCCAATAATTTAAGGAAGCCGGATTCCGCCCGATCGTCGTAAAGTGACTATCGTTGACATTGTGTATTTGAAATACTGTTATTGGAGACCTTTCTCAAATCTGTTCGGACAACGCGGCACCGTTGGGTACGTACAATATACGTTGTTTGATTGATTAGACTCGTTGAGTTTCATGTTGTGAGTGGGGAATATCCATGCAGTTTCGATATCCCGTGTGTTCAAATATTTTCGACGGTTAATACCTTTGTAGGTTGGCACAGCTGAGTGTATGGTGCCGTGAAAAGATCAACATAACATGAACCAAACATTCCAGTTGTATTAGTTCTGTCGCGCACGGACTCACCCAAACAGCTTTAACTTTTTTTGTTTGTTTTTGTTCCCAAAAATAGTACAATGCATTCTTAAAAACCCCAAGACATTATATTCGCCCTAGAACACCGGCTTGTTACCGACTTGACCTAATATTTGTCTAAGTTTTGCCATGCGTAGTGGGCCAATAAATTAAGGAAGGTTTCTTTTTTCACTAGGGAAAGCGCATGTGTTCTGTTCGGGAAAATTCGGGAGGGACATACCTCCCAAGAACACCCCCCCCCCCCCCCCCCCCCCTTTTTTTTATGTCTTTCTGATGTGGACTGGACGTCTGCAGGTCTTGGAGGAGCGTGTGCGTACCTCGAGACAGTTCGCCGAGAAAGCGATGGCGGCTCACTCGACTCGAGAGCAGAACGAAGAGCCTGCCGGCCGGGACGCCTAACCTAACCTCAACGACTCTCCATCGTAATCGGCCGAGTCCGTGCGACTGGTGGTGTGGTGTACCGAACACAGGACATCATCGATGGACGCCTGGCAACGCGAGGAGCGACGAGCTGCACAGCAACGTATCTTTGCTTTGTTTACGTGCCTTCAGACCTTCGCGGCTTCGATCGATCGCATTGACAGTCATACGCTCGCGAGTTGTTTCCACGTTCCGTGCCGGTCGATGATACCCTATCGTATTATGAACAGAACGAGCATTTACATGTGACCACACTGTCGCTCCTTTTACAGAAAACTGTCGATTTTGTTTGAATGACCCTGGGAGGGAAGTTCGCAGGTTTGCATATGGTATAAGGTGGCAATGAGCCCCTTTCGATGGTGCGCACGCGCAGTGATAGCAGACGCGGCTGTCAGCCATTTTTGGTGCAACCGATATCGGCAGTTGGTAACAAGGTGAATCAGATGCAGCCCGGCGTTTTAATTGTAACGCGTCGAAATTTTGTTCCGCCTTAGTTTACAACATAAACAGAGTCGTCACAGCTGGTTAAAGTTTCTTTAGACGGCCAAAAATGCTTTCTGATTCGCGAATGTTCGGTGGCATCTATCGGTGCCATCTATTCATCTATTTGGTGTCAGGTGGTGCCCAGTTCGAGGTAAAGGCCCATTACGCCCTTTAAACACCTGCGGCAACTAAGAAGCGGCCGCTGTGAAGGTAACTTTCTTTTTTATATCACTGTACAAAGGCATATTACAGTGAACAAAGGCAACTGCATATGCATCTTTCTTCTAGGCTTCACCACAGATAACATAAGGAGATGTGCTCAGTTTCGTAGTGGAAGGTAGTATGCTTATGACATCATGTACGCGATCTGTTTTGAACCTAGTCAATTGTAACACGCGTACCACAGTTAACGCATCGCGATTGAAGGGACTGAGAGAGCAATGCGGGGCAGTATTCAAAAATTAACAAAGGGTGAACGAATCTGACAACAACCAGAGGCCATGTCGACTTGAAATTACCATCTCTGCGCACTAGAACACAGCGGGTATATGAAAGGTCATGCTGGTTGATTGAGTGACCGATGAATTGATTCTGTCCCAGACGGGAGGGTTGAAGATCACTGTTATTACGTGCGTCAGCGGCGCCCTTGTCACCGCCGTTGGGGGTAGCAGGAGTGGGGGGAAATTGACAGGGTAGAGAGAGGGAGGAGGCGTCGGCCGTGTTTCGCGTTCCCTCACAGATATGACACTTTTCGATCGAAGCACGCTTTTTCCTCCTTGATTGTTATGCGGGGAAGTAGGCATATTGTTTTCGGCGCAGGAATGTGGTCGCGCCGTTCATATAAGGACGCCCTAAACACGCGTTCTTGATTGTGACGTCAAACTCAAGGCGAGCTGGTGTAAGTTTACCATTTCGTTGAAAACACCCGAGGCAGGGTGAAAAAGTCTCGAGAAAATCAACAGTATAGAAGATGCAAGAAAAGCAGTCAGTCAGACGACGTCCCGATCGAGATGCCGTCTGATTGACTTTTTTCCGTGTCTCTTCTTCGAGAAAATTTTAGACGCCGCGCGTGCATCCGCTGCCCCAGTGACTCCCGATTTTATTATTATTTTTTTTTTGCTCGAGCGATAAGTGCTGTAAACGTACGCTCCCCGGAACGCGTCTCCGACCGCTGTGTTTGGCGTCGTATACCCGCCCGTGCATCCAAATAACTCTATAATTCCGAAGTGGCGACGAATGACGTCACCAGAGCCAGAGTGTCACGCCATCGTACGTCGCGATCCTGGCGGTTAATAGAAAAAGTTACGGAAAAAAAAATAAACAAAAAAGCACGATTAAACGTGAGTGTCGCCGTCTTCACGGCGTCTCAACTCCTGGCTGCCAAAGCTTCCGTGGTCTAGAGAGCGACGTGCAGTAAAACGGGCGTCTGCCATATTCTCCACCACTGCTCTGACGCTGCCAGGATCCCCGCCGGTGTGTCCTGGCGGCGTCCTGACGCGGTAAACACACCAGCTGGGAACGCGTTCTGGGCACCCATAGTAAAAGTGAACAGGTTCCTGCCGCATTTCTTCGATTCCCAAATACTTCCGCTAAGTCTTAGAAAAGAAAAATCCAACTGGTCGCAAGTTTATTCTCATTGAAACTGGTGTAGAGAAAGAACTCTGTATGGTGGAGGAATGGTTAAAGAATAAGCAAGGATACATAATATGGTATAAACTCGCGCAATTTCTTAAACCCTGAGGAGGTAGCCGCAGGCGTATTAAAGACAAGAAATGACGGCATCGGTAAAATACTCTTACTAAAAAAAACACACACACACACACACACATACAAAAATTAAAAAAAAAAAAAAATCCACGCCATGCTAAGTAAACGACGGACGAGATTTATGACAGTATCCGTAGAAGCACCGAATAGTTTTTGTATTTCTCCAAATCAGGAACGCGAAGTTACAGACTTGGGGACGCCACGTATATCACCGATGGTGAGAAGTGTTCCTGAAGTTAGTTGCGCCAGAGGACACTATTGACCGTTAAAAATGTCGTTATATTATACTATAACTGCACGGCGGTCTATATGCATATACCTAATTTAAATTGAAAAGACAAAATAAAAAATAAATAAATAGGAAAAAAAAAAAAACGACTAAGAGCTTACATACGTGAAAGACGGTCGCTCGAATGTTTAATCAACACCCTCTTTGTTAGATTATGCAGGCTCCGTTCAATTCTAAACGCATTTAGTCGCGATGAAAAAAAAAAAAAAAAAAAAAAAAAAAAAAAGATCCATAGCACTTAACCCAAGAACAGCAATAATAATAAATGTCCGAAAGAAAACCACCCGTTCATTTTATTTGTCCGAAATGATCGTATGGCGTGACGCCGAGTGTCATCGCTGCGTGGCGATTTAACGCGAAAGGCTAGCGGTCGTACATAGATGGCTATATTTACGAACCAGAGTGTGTACCACGGTCGCCATACTTTGGCTGCGGACAAACCTCGCACTATTTCAACACACTCATATCGAATCTGCTTTCTGTCCTATCGACTCAAACCTATTGGCTGCGCTCGGGGTGTCGCGGACAATGGCGATTTAAAGCGATATCCAATCACACCGAAATTTACCTTCCCATTTCATTTTTCGTACAGCCTTAATGATCCGAAGTATCGATCTCTTTTACATATTCGTGCCTGATTAAATTTCGCACGCCATATTTTTTTTTTTTTTTTTTTTTCCAGCCTTGAATGCACAAAGTTTTGCGATATTGACCCGTCAACTTCTGAGCACGCGACACGGTGGAACGCACTTAAACAGCTCGATTTTGCCTCACCACTGCGCCTTGGCGCAAAAAAAAAAAAAATGTACGACACACTCGAGGGAGGGTGTACTTCCGGTACACGTTTCTAGATGAGACGGCTTTCTTTTCGGGAATAAACTGAAATACAACTTAATTTTAAAGGGCTATAGGAAAGCGATTATGTTTAATACGATAATTAAAGCACCCGGACATCGTCCCCCGCCATAAACTGGAAATAAAAGTTCGCTCTTAGGGTGGGAAGAAAGAAAAAAAAGGAGCATTATTAGCGTTACCGTCCTAAAGTAACAAATGAATCCAGTGACGAATATGTTTAATGGCGACGGGTACACCGGTATCGGTATTTTACCCCTTGTGCGTTTCGAGATCATGTCGCGGATTTGGCGCGGTAGGGCTACACCTTTAGCAACGGTACTGAGTGGTGACGGTGAACCCAACGGGCGTGGCGGTTCTTCTCGATGAACGCGACGTTGGCCGAGGAGCGACACTGTGATTACTTGGAACCGCGTTTCTTTAAGTTGTCAGTCACCGCGCGGTCGTTAGAGACCTCGGAGGCGTTAGAACGCGTCAGGGCTCCCAGAGGTCCGGTGGCTCCCTGAGGAACCGCGCCGCCCTTCCGACGACCAGCGCGAGTTGGTCCAGGTGACGCAGCAGGGGGTTCCTGTACAGCTGCGAGGCGCCGGGGCCGGAGTCCTCGGCTGCCTGCAGAAGGTCCTCCAGGCCCGGGAAGCCAGTGCCGCGGTAGGGGTCTCCTCTGGGCGGTCCGAACGCAAGGGGCCTGTCCAAAGGGAGGTGCGGTACTAATTAAGGGCTTCGCAGATCGCGTTCTTGCCTCTAAAGTTGCAGTCACGCCGCTTGCGATTCTCACAAAAGGCGGACTGCGGACATGTTCTAAGCATATTATAAAGCAAACATGCGCGTAAAGCCGAAGATTCATCCGTCATTGCATCTGCAGCGAACGGCGTGTTTTTTGACGTCACGATGTAACATGACGCCATAGTATCACATGACGCTATGGTAGCGAGTTTTAGAATAGTCTAACGCCTAAGCTTTGTGTATACCCAAAAGAACAGCGCCGTGGCCATGCGCCAATCCAAAAAAGCGATTCTCGTGATGTGACGTGACAGTGTGGGAGTGACGTTACGTGATGTCACGTAACATCACGTAACAGTGTGACGTCATGCCAAGGCTACTTCGAAACATCGGAAATAGTTGACGTCGCCGTAGCAGGGATGGGTCTTAATTCGAGGGATTAAACTGGGAGACACGGAGCACTCGGCGTGTTTTTTAGCTTACTAAATAACTGAGTTTTGAATTGGTGTATAAATGGGTATCAATAGACCGATCTCACCAGTTAGTTTCGTTATGCCGCCGCTGCCGCGATGCGTCGAGGGAACTTTAGTCTATCTGCACGTGCGACAACCTCGCTGGAGCTCTGGGCGCGCAGAGCACGAAACGGCACGAGCTGCCGTTAGTCTCATGTGAAGTAATGTTATGGCGGCGTCACGCATGCGGGGAACGCTCAGTGAGATCCGAGATCTATTGGATTTCTTCGCTGAATTTAGCGGGGGATCCTCTCTCCCTTGGCCCCGAACCGCGTGACAGGATATCATTTCGGGACCAACCTGGTGATTTGGTCCTGTCCAACCTTTCTACAGAAAAATTACCTTGGCCCGAAGCACATAGAACGACTCGAAGAATATAATACGTACCTTCGCGGGACATGCGGTCGATCAGATCGAGCGTTTCCCACATTCGATTTCATTCGTCCGGGAAAAAAAAGAAAGAAAAAAAAAATGTCGCCGGGCGAGTTTTGTTTTGAAGGTTGTTCCGTGGTGGTTCGGACTAGAGTCACCATGCTCGCATTCACCTCGAAAACCGCAGTGAAAAAAGTCCGTCTTTCTCGCGGAACGTTACTAATTTCATAACATATGGGTTGGATTCAGATATATTCAGGTGTGTCCTAAATTACCTTTATGTTATTTTATCAAAACGTACACATTTCAAGCGCCGAAAACATCCTTTCTTCCTTTGACAATCAAATCTCGCAAGAACTAATTCGCACAACGCATCAATAATTGCGCAATTTTTTTTTAATGTGACAACGAGTTTAAGTAAGATCTGCTTCAAAGTTACGATACCGCAGCCATAATGGGGCTTAAAATAACTGTTGTTAGTCGCCTGAAACTTAGTCTTCAAGCCGGAAATATAGAGTTTTAGTAGATCGTTCCCATGACTCCGATAACGATACCCGATAATCCGCCACCGCCTCCCTTGTGCATGCATAGTATAATTATCGGGGATATCGGAGGTATCAGAACGATCTACTAAAACTCTCTATTATCAGCGCCTGCATGTGTAGAAAGCTGTAACTTTCATCGAATGTGCACTGAGCAGGTCAGTTTGATCTTGCGAAATATGAAAACGCAATTCTCTTCCGGTTAAAAAGAAAATTAAGGCAACAAACTTTTTGAAGTCAAAGTTACACGCGTTCGCAGACAACTTTGGTAGGGACGCTCGGGGCACATCTCCCGATAGACGTAGGGAGTAGACAACATCGTCTGATCGCTGCGCCTATCGGAAGATGGCGCCACAAGTAAATAGCGTTGCTAACTCGGTCATCTGCGAATACGCCCATGACTTCGTCAAGTTTTTTGCTTACAAGAAAAAAACAAAAACAAAAACAACTACGTTTTGACATCTTGAAGGGTAAGACTGACTTGCACAGTGCACATTCGGTGAAAGTTGAAGTTTTCTATGTTCAGACGCCTATCTTTCCAACTCGTTTTACAGCGGAAGATCCACTTGTGCCAGCTGGGACTATTGTGGAGTTCATCGGAAACTTCGATAAGCGGAACTTAAGCGCTCCTCCATAAGTCGCGATTTGTGATATCTAGGGCTGTGTTCTATATTTCATTCAATAAAAAAAAAGAAAGAAAAAGCTACGCAAGTGCATAATTCTATTTGCGTGGGTAACTCGCCGGAGCAACGCTTTCAAACTGAAATGTGCATCTTTTGTGTGTTCACGACTCATTTTGTTTTTGGTCAGAAAGTCAAACAGCGTACTGTGCCATTCGTAAAAAAAAAAAAAAAAAAAAGAGAGAAAAAAAAAAGCGTGGAGTTTGCACACGATGTCGAACCTGCTTCAGTTGCAAGCGGCGTGATTCAAGAAAGAAAAAAAGCTGTCTCAATTGAGTAACGGTTTTTAATTATGTTTATATTGTAAATGACAACTTAAGGAACGCGTCTTTAGCCCTGAGCACCTTATTTCCGCTCCTCAGAGAAGGAAACTGCGTTAGTTGTTGTTGTCCTATTATAATGCCATCTGCATATGAAGTGTAGCGCGGGCCTGTGCTTTTCTGCGGATGCTGCACACTAAACGTTTTGCACTCTTAAGGGTGTAAAATGCTGGTCCATTCCAGCACCTTAATTTGGATCTAGCGCACCCTTTTCAAGTGTAAAATGGAGTGCTGTTGCATTGAACACCATCATGTTTGAAGGGCGAAAAAAGGGTGCAAAAGCGTGTTCGGTGAAGTAAGGCGGACACACCTTTTGAAACTTTTTCACCGCACTGACATCCGCTTCAGCTGAGGCTGCTTTGGCGACGATCTCAAATAATTATAGCTTGTACCAATGCTTTGCACTTGTAGATTCATTGTTTGAACTTATATGTATTATGCATTTCGCGTAATATTGACGAGAACAAAACAACATATGGGTAACCTTCAAAATTACTGAAGTGATCACCTTTAAATAAGTGTCTTCGAATTATAACAGTGATTGCTTCACCCCATATAATGGGGTGGAGCAATCACTGTTATAATTCCCCTCTCGTGTGTGGTCCATTGCGTCTGTGTTTGCTAATTTTGTACTTGTGAGGACTGCATGTGGTGCGTGTTGCTTGAAAAAGTGCTGTTCGTAAAAAAAAGGGCGCATATGACGATACTAAGATCGCCTGCGTCCTATTTTCAGGCTATTCAACAGCCTTCTAAGGACGTTGCTCTAACACCTTAAAGAGTTTGCCCTGGGACGAGGTGATTGACATCCCTAAAATTGTAAAAGTTTTCAATGCCTGCATGCTGGCATAGCCCGACGCGAGCGCGCAAGGCCTTCCGTTTACCGCTGCTAGCTATTTCACAAAGTGTCTCTTATGTGTGTTTTTTATTTATTGGCTAACCATTGTAAATTTTGATAGTAGAGCAGACAATGTCACAACTCTAAATCAAAAGTCAAAACAAGTATTTGAACACAAACCTCTTTTTTGGAGGATTCTTTGTTCCTGCACGAGTGCCGGTGCAAACAAATCGAACATCGAAGCGACAGGCTCACATCCGCACTTACCAGAATTACATGTTGTGATGGGTAATGCGCTCTAAATCGACTGGCACCGCCACATGTACCGTAAAACAAAACAAACAAACACACCATCTGGTTGCCTCAATTCCCGATTGCGATTACTTTCTTCGCTGGCGTTGTTACTGTTGTTGTTATATAATGTTTGTATAGAATATGTAAAATCCTGATGGTATTGAATGATGGTGCTATACCTCGCATATTGATACATCTACAACTTCTTGGAGCACAGCACATAAGTTTCTATCCACGGTTGTGTGTTTGATTTCATCAATGTACCTGCTAGCCTCGACTGACCGACCATATTTCGAGGCGGAAATTAATTCTTGCTGTTTCGTAGTTGTTTTAGGGTAATCGTTTTTACCCAATATTATTCACCAGACGCCTTCTCACCGTTTCATATTGTCAAAAAGATATCGTATTCAAGTCGATAAAGCAATTCTAACGTTTCTGTCTTGCGTCCTTTCATTTGTGTCTGCTTATTGCCTGACTTAAATTAAAGTCAATGTCTTCGTACAGAACGCGCGCAGTTCTAGTTATAATCACTCACATCTGGAAAAAAAAGTATGGTAAATCGCTAGGCAATAGACTTTTCCGGAAAATTCCAAGAGACCTTGCAACGAAGGGAATTGTGGGGCTGTTTGGATGTACGCCCGTGCCGGCTCGAACGCTTCGTATATCCTGGTAGCGGCACAATTAGTTCTTTGCCATCGCTATAGAAGCTCTCACGGCGCACTTCGTCAGATAGTTCGACACGTACCATGCGTACACTCGATCGTTGTTCCTTGAATGAAGTGATACTACCTCTAATTGGCTCATAAACCTGGCGATCTTCCAGAGCCTTCCATAGTCTCGAGCTCCTCTTCCTCGGTGCGCACAGGTGGTTGAGCTCCTCCTGGCCCACCCCTTTGGTCATGTGAACTCCGCCGTTGACCATGGAGCATCGAGCTTCGCGGCCACGCTTATCAGGCTTCACAAAATGCTAAATAACTAACCAAAAAATGTTAAAAAACAATTATGGGGGGGGGGGGGGGGGGGGGAGGCCGTGTTGAGTTTGAGCATCTTATTATCGTTCTATGGACAATGAGATTGCCGCATTATCCGATAAAACCTCCGAAGAACGAGTCAGGAATCCAGAAAAGCGAAAATAACAAACCATGCCCGGCTGTTTTTTTTATATTTTTTTGTTGTTGTTTGCGATTTAAGATGTTGAAAATTTTGAGCGACACCTAATCATTCATCATTATTACATCACCTCGCTTTAGGAGATTCGATTTCTCCAAACGTAATTCTAGCGATGCAATGTACTTGGGCCCTGTTTTTACCCATTGTGGCATAAAGGCGGCAAGGAAGCAAGGGATATGAATAGCAACTCACACATGGACCACACGTTAAGGCATTTAGACCGTCTCTACTTTACTGCAAAACACTCACGAGAGTCCATTGCTGAGGTCCACGGAAACAGAAAGGCCAATGGCGGGGCTAAACATATGTTTAAACATAAAAAAAAGAAAAAAAAAACAGTTTCAGTTGTGACGTTTTACTGAGCTCAACACGACGTTTGTAGTGAGCTCAATGTCACAGCGCAGTCTGTTTTTTTTTTCCGGCTCTACAAGTCCGACCGCAGCCAATGCGGTGTACAAGTTCGTCTGCTTCTTGCTCAGGAGTTGCGGTGACATCAGAACGATGCCGAGCTCTGACTGGCTTTGAATGAAAGGATAGTGGGTATATACCTCAATGCTATATATATGCCTCGATGCCTACCCACTATTTATTTCAAACAGCCAATAAGAGCTGGGCGTCATGACATCATGGAACCCCCTGTGCAAGAAGCAGACGAACTTCCGGGGACGGACTCGATGTGAAACGAAGTATCGATTGCAGCGATTGTCACTCCCAAGAAGTCCATCGGGCAACACTGATGGTCGACATTGCTCGGGCACAAAGCGCCTGATTGGATCCGAGTCCTCGCCGATCAGACGCACCACTCGTTTTGAATAGGAGCCGAGCCGAGTTGACGCCGAACGCTGTTGCCGTGCTCGTGTCTAATACATGCTCAGAGTGCGCGGTCAAGCAATGGCGGACAGACAATGGCGGACAGGCAATGGCGCCGAATTTTTAAAATTAGGCGGATATTGGATCTGGGGATGGCACGACCGTATATGGTTACCTGGGGATAGCTTGGCCGTCGTCCAGTTCGCTGGAGCCGATGAAGAGACGCTCCAGAAGCATCATCCTGTCGTTCATCCTTCTTTGAGCGTACGAATTGCTACGGGGAATAGACACGGCATTTTGTTATACTTTACGAAAGCTGTCACCAAAAGTAGGGGTTACAGCTCTCCACATTTTACCGAAAAAGAACCCTTAAATGTGTCAAGTGCAACAGTATGAGAATTGCTCGCTGAGAACATAGGCCGGTTGGTCCAGTTTTTAACATTTCTGCGAATGAGCTGGTCCAACGCCGTTTTGACCGGGACGACACGTTAAGAAGTTAATTAAAGAAACAAAAAAAAGTTGGAATGGACATTTTCGATTGTCGCTCGTAACAGTCGGTTTCGGTGCTGCATGAGGTGCACCCGTGATGCACTTTACTTCTTTCGTCTCGCACTAGTCTGGGCCAGCTCATATTGCCGCACATTGTACACTGCATGTTATTTCCAAGAATCGATGGAAAAAATGTAGGCAGTAAAATTCTCGCGAATATACTATATAATTTTTGGTTCCGCTTAGGGATACTTGGTGGAATGTCTCGGGCTGCAAGACTCAAAGGTGGCGGAATGTCCTTGGCGCGCCATACGCGTGCTTCACAAACTTCCCCAGGCGGTCGTGTATCACCACTGCGTGGTGCACGTTAAAGACCCCATGCTAGCGGTTGTACTGCACTGGCTAAATTGCTTATCTACAGCTGGGAGACTCGTCGCCCGTTGACGCAGACCAAGTTCTAGGCTCTATAAACATACACACAACCCAATTTTTTTTTCTTAGAGCAACAAAGCAGAAACTACCGACACCGACAAGCCTCGAACACGTGGAACAAGCTCGCGAAGGTATGTTTGGCAAGCCTGCAATCACTCGTGCTTACTTTACGAGCACCGAGGGGCCAAAGGTGTGCTGCGCGTGTCTGAGGTTTGCCGATGTCGGTTGTTTCTGTTTGTCCGTCTTTATACTCCGTTCACCCTTAAAGGGGTATCCACACGAAGGAGAACTCCGCGGACGGATGTCGTGACGTCAACAACCCGGGAAACCCCGTCCCCGGCTCCGCCGCGCGCACTTGCGGAGTTCTCATGCTAAGAGTACGAAGCCTTCGCGCCTCCGCCACGGAGGAGAACGAGAGAACGGCGCCACGAGGCGTCAAAAAGGGATGACGTATGTCTCACGTGATGCGCGCTCCGCGGAGAAAAGGAGCTGATTTCTCCTTCGTGTGGATACCCCTTAAAGGGGCATCCACACGAAGGAGAACTCCGCGGACGGATTTCGTGACATCAACAACCCATTAAACTCCGTCCCCGGCTCCGCCGCGTGCACCTGCGGAGCTCTCATGCTAAAAGTACGAGGCCTCCGCGCCTCCGCCACAGAGGAGAACGGCGGCGCGAGGCCGCGAGGCGTCAAAAAGAGATGACGTATGTCTCACGTGATGCGCGCTCCGCGGAGGAAAGGGGCGGATTTCTCCTTCGTGTGGATACCCCTTAAGGTGCAACCCCACCCCTGGTTAGTGTGATTCTGAACCAACAGATGGTGGTGGGATCGCCTTCCAGGGCTGTACATCAATGCGAAAAATCGTGTGTGGTGGCGCTTCGATACAGTTGGATATTCTTCTATATCCCTGGTCCTATATCCCTGGTCCCTTGCTTGGTTTTCTCTGCACGAGCTTTCTTTGGAACGCGCACTGCTGCCCCAGTTCTCGTGCAAGGGGGCCAGTTGCCACGCTCCGAGCTCACGTCTCCAGCAAATGTAGGCAGAACAAAACGCGAAAATCGTCCTGAGCCAAATGGCGAGACACATGCACAACAAAACTACCAACGCGTTGAAAAATATAAAATTGCCTGTGCGCCGTTATCGGAGATTTCAGAGGCCAATGACACATATTATAATGTGATCAGATTTATACTGATACGAATGAAGGTGACGAGAGGACGAACAGTGAACTGAAAAATAATAATTTAATAGGCAAACTTGTTCCAAAAAAAAAAAAAAGAAAGTAAACAAAGAGCGTCGAGGCAGCAGAAAAGCAGGCGGCGATTCGGCAGCGTAACAAAGAGCGAGAGCAAGACTGACTCGACAAAGTCGCTGGCAGCTGCTTATCTAGAGTGCGTCACGTCACCATCTCGAAAGTTCCGCAAAGAAGGTTCGAGCGTCGCGCGTTCAGGGCGAGGATGAACTGGCACTTTCGAGGTCAAGAAAACAGGGTGAAAGTTCCGTCTGGTGCAAGAATGAACGCGAATCTTCCAGAAGTCCGTGACCGAGCGTTGCTTTCTCGGCTCTGCGGGTGGCAATATGACGGGCCGGCCCTTTCATCGTGCATGTGTTTGGATCTTTGAAGATTTCCAGCAAAACGTGATGACGTCCTAGTCTGGTTTCCAAAATTCTAGCTTGAGGAATTAACTACCTAAAAGAAAAGACTATTTTTTGGGCGGTCAGGTGTTTAATTTAGGTAGCTGGGTGTTTATTTTCACCCAAACCACGAGACTGGAAAACACAAAAAATAACACTCAGGTTTAGATGTTGAGTTTGGTAAACCCAAAGTAGGACTGATGCGAAGGCCATAATAAAAAAATGCCGAGGTTAAAAATAAACTCACAGCAATAAAGAATAATTATTAACTTTAATACGAATTCGGTGATAAATGCAATGACTGACCAGGCGAAGATTCTGGGTCTGTTGATAGCTTTTGCACATAGTTTAAGCAACTTGCAGGGTGTCACAAAAGAAGAAAATACAGGGTTTATTTTTACCCCAAGAATAAACTAGGCATCGCCGAACGCTCATTCTCCGCCCATAGGTAGCGCTAGAGGTACAAGCAGATCAGAGCCGTATATTGGGAGAGTTTGGCCAGTGGGTGTGGCGACGAAGGCGCCGGAGAGGAGAAAAGTAAATGAAAGTTAGGAGAGCACCGAAGGAGCGAGAGAGAAAGAAGGGAGCAGAGAGGAGACGACCGCCATTTTTTAGCAACGCTGTCGGAGACTGGTCGGAGAAGAGCACTGCTGAGGCTACGCGTCGTCTGCTACGGGACGACTTCTTTTTCGCCTGAATAAAAGTTTGTGGCCATACGCCAAAAATTTTTCATTTATTAGCTTTTTAACCCACCGAGGAATAACCCACCGAGGAATAACAGAATGTCATTTTCTTGCCAGAGCCAGCGATATAAAAGGAAATAATCGAGATTTAGATGCCGATCCCACGCATTCCGCCGGGAGAATGATCGAAGATGGCGGCCGTCCTCACTCAGGTGGGAGCAGCCGGGAGTTCACGCGCATGCTCTCATGCCTCCCGCTCTACGCCGCGTGCTCATTGGCTCACTCGGGAGGAGAGCGTTACGGCGGCGAGATCATAGGCTGACCAAACTCTCCCCATATACGGCTCTGAACCAGATGTCAAAGTTTCAGCCGAATACGATATCTCCTTCAAAAATTATCTGATTTTCTGAAAAGTTCAGTGGGAAAAAAGCGGCCGACGGAGTTTTCGAATACATGGGGCTCTATGGCACCAGAAACGAAAAACAGGCCCAAAAATGGGCTTCATTTTTTCAATTGGAATTTTCAGAAAATCACTTATAACTTTTGAATAAGGTGTCCGTTCGGGATCAAACTTTGGCATCTGGTTGTGACCTAGCGCTACCTTTGGGCGGAGGATGAGCGTTAGGCAATGCGTAGTTTATTTTTGCGGTAAAAAAACAACCCTGTAAATTGTTTTTGTGACATCCTGTGCTAGTCTTAATTTGGTGATTCATGCGCGCAAGTAGTGTTGTGCAAAAATGAAAACGATGCAAACTGGTAGGCTTTGACGTTGTATAAAATATAGTGTAGGCACGCACATGGTACGCTGATTAAGAATGAAACAGCCCTACGTTTTACACTAGCGTTGAGCGTTTCGAAAGTTAAGGGTGCATCAAAAGCTAAAGCTTGTACACATATACTGCTCAGGCCTTTGTGTTTGAATGCCCATAGAAATTTATTACCCTCAGATTTGGTGTAAGTTGTCTCCTGATTGCTTACAACAGAAAGAAGGAAACATTCTAACTCTAGGTTGGTAGAAAAACTCCACCTGCTGACGGCCACCAATCATCTCGGCGCCGATTTTGAGTATTCACTGCATGCCAACGGTCGCGTGCTTAGAACGAGTTTTTCCCACGTGATTTCATACGATCGCAATTGTTCTTGACAAACAACAATGTTTAGTCAGGCAAGCGATCACATGTGAAGTTTAGAACATTTTCTATTGGTTGTGGCACACGTGACAAGTTGCATAGGTTTCTTTTTTTTTTTTTTTTTAGAATCCGCGAAAAAGATTGCTCTTTGGTTACCATGGTCTCTAATAATTCATGTAGCACACAAAAGAGCACGAACTGAATCGCTGTGGGAAACGAAAACCATAATGATAAACAAGCGTGTAATCACGCGAAAACTGAGGGCATTGCACATATACAGAAGGTAAGCTTTGTTTCACTAAATACATTACCAATAAAGTATTTCGTTTTATCCTTCGAGCGAAGCAGAACATTCAGGTGCGAACATACTGTCCTGAACTACACTTCCAGTGAACAAGCGCACCATCCAAAGCACCGAGCTCGCTTTTATAGCGTTTGGGGCGCTCAAACCTTTGAAAACACAATTATAATCAATTCTATTATTTCAATTATTTTTAATAAGTGCGCCTATGCGTTTTTTTAATTTTACGTTCACGTGCCATTTTCTTAGTTATATAAAATTTTTCCAGAAGTCTGACAACTATAGTCTGTTTCATTATAAGTAAGAGCCACAAAATCAGAGATGTAGACAAAAAAATAAGAATAAAAAAGAACGCGAACACACGTTAAAAATGCGATGTAACGGCGCATTCAAAATTAGTCGTTAGTTTTTTAGAGAGCAGCGATTTCGTAGGACGACATTGTTACCCGATGAAGGTTATAAAAAGTGCAGTGCAACTGTTAGCTCGGGGTCTGTAACGTGCGTTACGCAGTATATGTGATACAGGATCGCACGACGGTAGGATGCAGATGGGCGACTGAACCCAGGGTCCCTGCTAAAGCCCCTTGATAAAAGCGTTTTTTACAAGTACCGCCAACCATTATTGTAAAAACGCGCAAGACACGTGCCACGAGCGGGCGCTCTGCCGCCATTCGCTTTCAAGGGCCAGTCATTATAGACCTTTCCAGAAAAGGGCTGCTGGCCGGTTTCATTTTCAGTGTTCGTGCGTATCGCGCGTGATTTGCTCGCTTTCCGAAGCGACGCATACGCGCGTGCTGAGCTGTGGAGATCGCACGCTGAGCTGTGGATTTGTAAACATTGGAAAGGTCTATATATCCGGGCAACACGGGCAACTCGAACTCCATTTACAACGAATGACATTTGAAGGATCGGACAATCAGCGCGCGACACTCCGAGCGTGGGGCGTTCCACGCGCGACAGATCGCGAGCCGATTCGTTGATCACATGAATGTCATTCGTTGTAAATGACATTCGAGTTGCTCGTGTGGCACGCGTGCCACACGGGCAACTCGAATGTATTAGTGCTGCGTCGCCATTTGTGTCCAAGGGCCGGTCGATACACGGGTATCGTGCACTGGCACCCTTGAGGTTATTTGAAAGACCAACGCAAATACATCGAGGGGGTTTAGTCCTATACACGCTCTGCATTGGGAGCTCCGTGCTTTGAACGGAGCTCCCACTCGAGCATTTCTCCACGTGCTCTGATCTGCGGTGCCACAACACACTCGGCCAACGATCCCCCACCGCACATGATTTATCCTGTGAGCTAGACCAAATAAGTTACACCTATAGAGTATCGGCAATTTTTCCCCCGATATTGTTTTGGGCGTCGCCATGTTGGTGGATAGTAACAAATGAAATGCAACTGCCGGTCGTCATGATTCAAAAGTGCGACTTCCTCAGCAATAGTTTCGGTGTCAGGAAGGTCACGTAATATTGCTTTGCTTTGTCGCCAACTGTTTAAACATTTGTAGAGGACGGAAAAGCGTTTCCTGTGATTTCAGATAAAGCTTCAGATAACTGACAACCATCATTTTAAGCATCCATATCTGTATGAAGCGTAGCTTATTTAGTGGGTCTAGTTTAGCCCGACCGCATAGGCACAGAAAGAGAACGAACAGCTTAACTTCGCGCTCTTGGCGCTGCTTCAGTGGCTTCATCAGCCCGTAGCGTTGGTTGCGCTCCGAACTGAGGTAAAGCAAAGCAAATATTCAGATCTTAGGGTTTCACAAGCCAAACCGACAAAAAGCACTTAACACGCCCAAATTAAAAAATAAATTATTGCGGGTTTATTTTGGCTAACCGTAGATCTTTTGACGTGCAACCGAAATCTCAGATTGGCCTCCGTCGGATTGCGGGCACCTCGGCCGATATTTAAACCCGACAAATATAGATTCATGGGCCAGCGCGTTGGCTGAGAGGAACTGATACGTTTTAATGTCATTGCCACTTAAGAGCCACCGAGGTGGTTTTCGAAACAAAATATAGTCGAACCACTCCGACAAGCATAGTTTGATATCGTAAATGATTTATGGAAGTGATAAAAACATTAAAATGTTTTCGCATACGTGGCGGAATCTGAAATGGCAGAATGCATTTCATGGCGCCCATTTCATTTGGATCGCGTCGGGCATGTGTACCGACGCACAGTAGAACGCGCGCAAAAGTAGCTGTGGTGGACCTGCAGCCTCGCGCTTGTTGATCTCACATCTCTGGCTCGCTCACTACGGGCATCCAGGCATCTGACACCCTGACATCTGGCGCTTTTTCTGTCTTTCACGTGGCGTTCCAAGCGGCGCACGACGGAAAATGCACATCAAGCTGTTCTTGAACACGTGTCGCCATCTGTACTTTATATTAAGAAACTACAATTCGCCGTAACTGAATGGGAAAAGTTTGAGGTCTTATAACATTCTTAACGTGTAATATATCGATATGGAAGTTCTGGAAAATGTAATATCGAAAGATGCTTCATAATTTAATGTCTCGTTATTTTGATTAGTTGACGTGATTCCGTTTTTATAGCGCCATAAAATATTACAATTTTAAACTATTTTTTATTTTATAATATACATTATCTGTACAGTTCGTTACTTACTTTTTTTATTTTATTACATCTAAACGAACGCTCAAGTAAAATATCGTGGACGATGGGACGTTATAACTCAAGAAATAATTTTTTCAAGATTAGAGACTGTGGTCTATTAAAAGCGAAATAATTAACTAACAACAAAAAATATTCGTGATATCAAGACATTAAATTATTGTTGAAAAACTGCTCTTTAATTTGACACTAACTTTATAATCGTAAGATACATAGAAAGAAAGTTATAAGCCGTTGGAAAAGCACCAAAACGTCAGGCACGGTGGGGTTGCACCTTAAGGGATGCTGAACCAAACATTTCAGTGTTCACAGTAAGTGGCGCACGATCTTTCTACAAACGAGAATCCGCATGTGCTCGAGCACACGCAACGAAATTGACGTCATAGTCCTCCATTCACTCTTAAGATGACAGTGAAATGTGTGGGCTTGGGGGAAAAGGTGAATAAAGGCGGGCTTTTCATTTGCGCAACGGGGTCCGGCGTAAAAATTAGGCGATTAATTGATCTAACAAGCACGTAGCTTTCACCTGTCCTGAGAATATGGAAAGTCTGTCTTGTTTCTCCTTTTGCCCTGAGTTCTTGCATTTCACTGTCGCGTGAATGGAGGACTATGACGTCAATATCATTGCGTGTGCTCGCGCACATCGGCGGCTGCTGGCTCATGGAAAGATCGTTCGGCACTTGTTATGGACACTAAAATGTTTGGTTTAGTATCCCTTTAGGCTGAGGCTGTAGAAGCTCCGCCTTCAGCGCGAGTTCGCTGGCTTGCGCAGTGCTTTGGTTGCGCATGCCTGCGCGTTCACACTTCGGTTAGCAAAGACAGAAATCTCACTCTGAAGACGGAATTTCTATACTCTGTTTCACCTTATGATGTACTGCAGGAAAGGCTACAAGCGCGAGCTCCTTGCTCTAGGGCACATCTCGGCGGCACAAGGAGCAGCTCCTAACGCTACGAGCTCGCGCTTCTAGCCTTCTCTGCGGTACAGCATGAGGTGAAACGGGGTATAGTCTCAGCTTAAGGGTGAACTTAGTGTAGTGGGTCTCGACTATTACGAGTAGAGCGAGTCAAGTGATGCTCATGAGTCCAAACTTACTGGCTTGCCGAGCCTTCCACAGCGTGGGTCCAGTTGCGCGTCGCCTCAGCAAACCCTTCGACAGCCTTCTCCAGAGGAGCTGCAGAAAGGGTAAGCCAGACGACTATTACAAATAGTTTACCGGAGAACGCATCTTACACCGCGAAAACTCAATGGCTTTGGAGCCGACAGCTTTCGCATAGTTAGGATCAGCGGCGTAGACTTTCCATTTTCCCCGGGGGGGGGGGGGGGGGGGGGGGGTGCTTTTCCGCGCAAATTTTTTAACACCAGCATTTTTAGGGAGTACATTTTACAGCGTATGTATATCGCCATGTCTCTGTCGCTGTGTGCGTTATTTTGTTTACATGCCACTAGTAGAAGCTCGTCACATGGCACGTAAACAGCGTCTCGGTAAAGATCATGGCCCGGGGGGCAGGAGCCCCGATGCCCCGCCGTAGTCTACGCCTATGGTTGGAACGGCTGGAAACGCAGCCTCGGGGTTTTCAGCTCTGAATTGGGAGGGGTGACTGCCGCCATCTATCGTCGTAGACAACATTCGAGACGGCGGAGACAGTCCGTCTCGGCCGTCTCGAATGTTGAGTCTTGGCGGATTCGATGTCTCGGTGCGTCAGCGGCAGCCCTCTCCCTGGGTGCAATGCGAAAACGCGAAAAGGTGCGACAGCACGGTGCGCATGTTCTCTCGGACACGGGGCTTCCCTTCCTCCATAGGAGAGAATTCGGCGCTGTAGGCGCCTTGCCTAACGAAATGAACACGCCACTGTGGTGGCGCTGCTGTCGGCACCGCACATGCGCAGATGCTTCGCCTCAGGCGCCTTCAGCCAAAAGCTAGCCTGGCCACCGTGGATGGAAAACGCTTTGTTTGGTGTCAGTCTGGATTCGAAACTGCGGGTACGCCAAAGCAACGCGTGACTATCGGGCGATCTGCGCGTGACTATCAGGCGGCGCCCAGAGGCGACCGTCCTTCCAAGCGTCTATTAACAGTGTGTTGGTCGATAGTCATTGTTAAGCTGAGAACGGCAGGGAAGAGCCTCCTAAAGCGAGCTTCCTAACTTCGACAACGCTTCGGTACCTTGAGCAGCTCAGTCAAAGCACGGCGGAAGGCATGGGACGCGTGCTAGTGGACGGGTGTTCAAACGACGGGCCGTGTAGTCCTCATTTTCTTATAAAAAGAAAGTAATATGTTTGAGGATCAACTGGGGCACTAAGGGGTGGGTCGCTCTGGACTCGCGCGTATACATACTCGAAGAAATCTAGGGCGTCTATACTTTCCCTCAAAGTGCCTGGGAGAGTCAATCGCTGCAATCTACGCAAGAAACGCAAACAATGACAAAGCGAAAAAAAAAAAGTGTGTAGACGTTTGCAAAATTGTATATGCACTCTGCCAAAGGCAGAGAATATTCCCGTGGGGGGGGGGGGGGGGGGAGGGGGGGCATTACGTGTTCGGAATTTTGATAAATGAAGGAGAAGTATGACAAAAAGTAACCAGTGGTTAGTCGTTTATACAGCGAGGAGTTAGTCTGCCGAAACATGGCGACACTGTTAACCACTGTAGATGTGAAATTTAGCCAGTGCACTACAATTGTTAGCCTGGGGTCTTTAACCTGCATCCCACAGTAGTGATACACGCGACCGTAGGCCGGTACGATGCTGATCCAGATCGAAACGGGCAGGCGTCGGGATAGATTACACTTCCAAAAACCCCTCGATGCAACATGGCGCGCATAGAATTATGGGGCCTCTTTGGCCATGGAGAGGAGTGGCATGGTTTCGATTCCGATTGCCTCGTTGACGAAGTGATGAATCTCAGCTCACTGTATGAAAATAAAGTCAGCGCTAGCTCGCATTGTGCACCAATTCGTCTTAGTGACAGTTCCATTCGAAAGACGGATCTCCAGCGGCCGTAAAGGCCCGCAGAGGCTTATCGCGAGTAAAAGGAGTATGCGGCCTGCCGCGTCCCATATCTTTCTGGTGGACTCGCTGTCACTCCAAAATGCAGCGTGACCCTACCGGATTTCGAAGAAGCTTCTTCGGGGCTATGCGATGACCAAGCCATAACACCGACGCCTCAAAATGCTCTCATTTAACTTTTTATTTTATGTTTTAGAATGAAACGCGAAAGATGTAACAAGAACATATTAAATGTGGCTGGCCACACGTAGAGGAAAGTTTTGAGAATGGCCGGTTTGAGAAGGTCCAATGAGAAGGTTGAAACAATGACAAGCTCAAATGAGAAACGCCCCCACCACAGGTAGGTAGAGAAACTAGACTTAAACGATGGAGCAGCTCAAACTATGAAGAGCTTTTGCAATTCAATGGCCGACGCCTCCTGCGGTACAGGCTGAGCAAAGGCTGGAGACGCTTACACACAGTCAACACTTTCAACTAGTTCTTACAGCTCATATTGCGAACGCGGCCCATAACCCCGATCGAGCAGTCGGAAACCTTCGTAAAGTTATAGGCACACTACAAGTAGGTAGCTAGTAGGTATACCTACTTGCTACCTACTTGTAGTGCGCCTATAGATTCAAGAGGGTTTCCGACTGCTCGATCGGGGTTATGGGCCGCGTTTGCTATACGAGCTGCGAGGAGGTGCCGAAAGCGTTGATCGTCTGCGAACGTCTCCGCCTGGATGAATGGATGGATATTAATTGCTCTACCCTTTGTAACGGGGGGTAGCTTGCGCCACCTAGCCTTTCCGCCTGCTCTGCTCCTCGGCACGCGAAAACGCGGCGCATTCGCGCTTACGATCAATCTCCGCAGGAGGCGTCCGCCATTAGGTTGCAAACGCTCACCATGGTTTGAGATGGACTCTCACTGCAATCTATGCGTAGTGTAAGTTCATCTGCTTCTTCTGCAGGGGTTATGGGAACGTACGAACGTTGAGCTCTGATTGGTTCTGAATGAAGGGTAGTGGGCAGACCTCAAGGCAGCTTGCCTTTGGGGTCTTTCTACCATCCTTCAATGAGAGCCAATCAGAGCTCAGCGTCTTTCAGACGTCTCTGGAACTCTTGCGCAAGAAAGCAGACGACTTGCCCTCCGCATAGGGTCACTGCAAGCAATCATGGGCACGTTATTGCTGCAATGTAACAGTGTTACGGTTACAGTTACTCGTGTAAAAAAAGGAACCCTGCTACAGTTACAGTTGCTAAATTGAAGAAATAACTTGTTACAATTACTTTGCTAAAGAAACAACGTTACTTCGTCGTTAGTACACAAAATATATAAGAAAACATTCAAAATGAACCTTCCTTAATTAGCCTTTAAATTAGCATAAATTTTTCATAAGACATGCATGGTGTGGTTCACGGTAGTGAATCAGATTTTTTCAGGAACTAGGATTTTCCCAATAATCAATATATTCACATGTTTGGTTTTCCCTATTTAATTTTTTTACCATGAATAGCTAGCTCCCTGTACAAGATCATAATTTAAGGCAGTATTGGGGTTAATCCACAATATGATAAAACATTTATATAGTTTTTTTTTGGCAAAGTCACAGCCGACTTTAGTTTTTCGAAAATTTTGAGCTAGCAGATACCTGCTGATGATCCACGAAGAGCATTAAAATAAGTGCGACCACCCATAAGGTATACACTAATATAACAGCACGCGTCTAGATCTAGGGTATATTTAATCATGGTGGCGAGTGTACAATCGGTGAATTTTAATCTCGAATTTCTTTGGTAAAAGAAAATTAGACGGAAGGAATAAAAAACCAGTGCAATGTGAAGTCAATAATAATGTGATATATCTTGCAATCTAGATGTTTTCTTATGCCACCCCAATTAACTTGTCGGTCGAATTGCTTTCGACTGCGTGCGTTTTCGACTGCGTGGTATGAAACACAAAGCTTCTCTTGAAAACATGGAGAGCAATGTTCCGGCAACATTCCTCCGCCGAACCCGCTGAACATGACAGTGGTGCAGAAAAAGCACTGATCGAGGTGAAAACGACCACTGCGTGTAGAATTCTAAACGGCTGTTGCGATCTTTTCTCCGCCACTACCTAACCAGATCAGACACGTTTGCTCTCCTCCATCTCACCACCCCAACTAGAAGAGACCACCTGGAAAGCTCCCGACGTGAATATCTATAAATCAGCTGATGCCAAGGGCCCCTCGTCCTGGCTGAGGGCGGTCTCTCATTTTCAAGAGGAAACAAACAAGCAGAACGACGCAGACGCTTCGATCGAACACTCTTTCTCAAATGACGGCACCCGAAAAGCAGAGCAATGGGGTACAACAAACGGGTAATGGGAAACAGAAGCAATAAATAAATTGCAAAAAAAAAAAAAAAAAAAAAAAAAAAAAACCGGAAGGCAGGGCAAACGGGTTTAAGGTCAAGACCCCGCAAGAGTGAATCTGGGAGTTGAACGATTGAAATTAGAGGGGAAGGAAACGTATGTTTGGCAGAAAAAAGCCGAGGTTCGGAAAATCGTTTGTGCCGTATGCCTGCGCGCGTTTGGGGCGACGATCACCAAAAACTGTCCTTCGCGAAAGGCACTCGCTCCCTTCGCCAAACGAAGAAAGGAGAAACGCTTAAGAGTTTCTGCACTTTGTTATATCTGCGTTCGCTGTGCGTGGTACCATATACGGCGGGTACGGATGCAAACGTCCCCATCCTCCCGGTTGGCGAGATCGGCTTGGCCAAGCAGGGTCACCCACAATTTATTATTATTATTTTTTTTCCTCGTGCTCCCGACGGTTTCTGCAGCAGTTTTTGCTGTGCCCTTCCGGTATCAGGACTTGGGAGTCTCTCATGAGTGGCTAGACGATTTGGTGTTCGTCTTTTCAGTATTTTTGCAAAAAAATCTGAGAGGTAACGACATGACTGTTTACAGCTACTTTCGAAAAATAGTAACCCTGTTACAGTTACAACCTATTTTCACTAAGCACTAACGAGTTACAGCTAGACGTTAGTGAAAGAAAATCTCTGGTTACCGGTAACGCGTAAACTTTAACTAGTTACTGCCCAAGACTGACTGCGAGTAGGTTAAGAAGACTGCGTGTGCGCAGGGGGAGCGGACACTTTGAGAACTACAATGTTTGTGTTTTAATTTGAAAAAGGTAAAACAGCACAC